GGTCCCAAAACGGACAATATCATACCATATGATAGAGTTGAACATTACAAATGGTATCAAAGATGAATTACTGCCGAGGACGTTAAACACTTATGTGAGGTGAATGTGGCGAACTTTGCAGACGGGTGCAAAAGGTACTGACAAGCTACCTCGTAAAAGGTGCACAATCCCACATTGCCAAGGGTAACTTGAAGGTGAAGTGCCAATATGTACTAGTGCCTTCTCCAATTGGTATGAGGCCTTTTAGGTAAAACCCAGAGAAAAAATAATGTGTGCTCAAGCCCAAATCGAACAACACACCATGTGGTGGAGTGAATCGTTACAAATGGTGTCAAAGCCTAACCGAGTCGGAAGTGTGCCGATGTTGGGAAACTAATGAGGGGTGATTGTGACGACCTTTGTGGCCAGTGTGCAAGAGCAAGTGTAAGCTAGCAGATTACGGGGACACAATCCCACATTGCCTGAGTGTGAAAAAGGGAAGTGTGATATTTGTATGATTTGTACACTCAAATTGGCACAAAGCCTTTTGGGGTAAAACCCAAAGCGGACAAACCGTGCACTGGTAAGCTACCTACTGGCAAACTAAGGGTGCACAATCCCACGTTGGCCACTTCCGTCTAGGTCAGGCTCCTTTACATAGTATGATATTGTCTGTTGCGGACCCGAGCCCAAACGATTTTGTTCATGAACTTAGCCATAAAAGGCCTCATACCAATTGAAGTGTATCCTACAAATAGAGCACATTCCCTTTCCACACCCAGGTGATGTGGAATGTGCATCCGAAGCTTGAAAGCAATAGGCCTCTAGTGCCTCGCACCCGCCCGCAAGGTCACCCCAATCCCCCCTTTAAGAGCCCCAACCGTGCTTGTTGGCCACACATCTGGCGGGGTCTGGTTCTAGCTCCGATACCATATTTAACGACTCACTCAACCACATATGATATTGTCCGCTTGAACGCGAGCCCGCACGGTTTTGTTCTTAGACTCGGCCTCAAAAGGCTTCATTCCAATTGATGTGTACCAATACTACATATATGGCGCTTCTCCTTTCAACACTCAATTGGATTGTACATCTTACTAGCATTATAGCCTACCAATGCCTCGCACCTGCCTACATAGTCGCCACAATCACCCCCTTATGGGTTCAACATCCTCGCTGGCCACAATTCGTGCTGGGTTAGTCTCTTATAACATTTGTAACGGCCCACTCCACCACATGGTATGATAATATCCGTTTTGGGCGTGAGCTTGCACTGTTTTGCTCTTTAGTTTTACCCCAAAAGGTGTCATACGAATTGGAGATAGCTCCAGTACATAAAAACATTTACCTTCACCTTATCCAGGCAATGTGGGATTATGCACATGTAGTTTACCCAGTGTGGTAGCCCACGAGTTCCTCTTGCACCCGCCCACAGCACACTAGGGTGATTATGGTGACCTTTGTGGGCGTGTACGAGAGGCACTAACAAGTTATCGCACGTTACAGGTTCACAATCCCACATTGCCTGAGGTAAGGTGGACATGAAGTGCTAAAATGTATTAGTGCCTTCTCCAATTGGTACGAGGCCTTTTAGGCAAAACCCAGAGAAAATTAATGCGGGCTCACCCAGGTGTGCGTGGGTGAGTGCGAGGCGCAAAAAGGTTATCTTGCTTGCAAGTTACGAGTGCACAATCCACATCACCTAGGTGTAGAAAGGGAAAATGCTCTATTTGTAGGATTGGTACACTTCAATTGTTATGAGGCCTTTTGAGGATAAGTTTATGAACAAAATCGTACGGGCTCGGGCCCATAGCGGACAATATCATATCATGTAGAGGAGTGGCTCGTTATAAATAATGTCAGAGCCTGACTCAACCGGAAGTGGCCAATGTGGGCCCGTTAAGGGGTGATTGTAGGATTATGCACCTGTAGTTTGCCAACATGTAGCCTACTAGTGCACGGTTTATCTGCTTTGGGTTTTTACCCCGAATGTAGCCTACTAGTGCACGGTTTATCTGCTTTGGGTTTTTACCCCGAAAGGCCTCAAGCCAATCTCAGTGTATAAATGTTACAAATATAGCATTTCCTTTTTACAAACTTGGGCGATGTGGGATTGTACCCCCATAACCTTTTAGCTCACACCTGCTCTTACATACCTGCCACAAAGGTCATCACAGTATAACCCAACATTAGTTGCCCAACATCTCCACACTTACGACTGGGTAAGGCTCTAACACCATTTGAAACGACTCACTCCACTATACGGTATGTTATTGTTCGATTTGGGTTGAGCCCGTATTATTTTTATCTAGGTTTACAAAAAAGGTCCCGTACCAATTGGAGAAGGCACTAGTATATATTAGCACTTCACATTCACCTTACCCAAGGCGATGTGGGATTGTGCACCTGTAACGTGAGATAGCCTGTCAGTGCCTCTTGCACCCGCCCACAAAGGTCGCCACAATCACCTCACTTAGGGGCTCAACGTCCCTGTTGGCCACACTTTCGACTATGCTTCATCTTTCTTACCATTTGTAACGGCCCACGGCCCACTGCATTGCGTGATATGATATCGTTTGCTTTGGGACCGAGCCCGCACGGTTTTGTTTTTGGGTTTACCCAAAAAGGCATTGTACCAATTGGAGTCTAGCAATCCTACATAACTATCACTTCTACTGTCCATACCCAGGCGATGTGGGATCGTGCCTCGTACCTGCTCACAAGGTCGCCACAATAAAGAGTGGTTAAAAAGGATGTTGGCCCCCTAAGGTGGATAATTATGGCAACCAATGTGAGCGGGTGTGCCGTGGGCGGGTGCAAGAGGAACTGGTAGGCTACCACACTGGGTAAGTTACATGTGCACAATCCCACATCGCCTACGTAAGGTGAAGATGAAGTGTTTTTATGTACTAGTACTATCTCCAATTCGTATAAAAACTTTAAGGGGTAAAACTACATAGCAAAATCGTGCGGGCTCATGCCCGATGTGGACAAAATCATACCATATTGTGGTGTGGGTCGCTACAAATGCTATTAGAGAATAACACAGCTAGAATTGTGGCCAACAAGGACGTTGAACCCCTAAGAGGGTGATTATGGCGACCTTGTGAGTGGGGGCGGGACATTGGTAAGCTATCATGCTAGTAAGGTGTACAATCCCACTAAGTGTGGAAAAAAGAAGCGTTATATATGTATATTATTGGTACACTCCAATTGGTATGAGACTGTGTGCAGGCCTGAGCCCAAAGTTTATAATTTTATACTAATGGTATTAGAATCGGACCCAAGAAGTAAGAAAAAGAAAAATCCTAACAACAAATAACTAAAAGAACCCTAAAAACAATAAATAATAACTAGAATAATCGTAAAAATAATAAATAATAATTAAACCAAATAGAAAAAGACAAACCCAAACAACAATAAACAATAACTACAACCAACTTAACAACAACAAATAATAAAAAATAAAAAACTATAACAACAAACAAAAAATAAAAAAACACTACCACCAACAAATAACAATAAAAACGAAAAATCTAAACAACAAATAATAGAAAAGCACAAACCTTAACAACAATAAATAATAACTACAACCAACCTAACAACAAATAATAAAAAAAGAAACTAAAACAACAAACAAAATCTAAAAAAACACTACCAACAACTAATAACAAAAGAAAACAAAAAAACTAACAACAATAATTATTAACTAGAATAACCTAACAAAATTATTAATAAAATAAAAAATAAAAAACCATAATAAGAACAACCAAACAATAACAAATAATAAGAAAATGAAAACCCTAACAATAATAAAGAACTAAAAGAAAATACCTAACAACAATAAATAACTAGAATAACCGTAAAAATAATAAATAATAACTAGAACGACAAATAATAAAAAAGGACAAACCGTAACAATAATTTGAAAAATAAAAAAAATAAAAAAACACTACCAACAACAAATAATAATAAAAAAGGAACCAAAGCAACAAATAACAAAAAAAAAAAATCCAAACAACAATAAATATTAACTAGAACAAATCTAAAAATAACAAATAATAGAAAAAAGAAAACCCAAGCAACAACAAATAGCAAAAGTAAACCTTACAATAATAAATAATAAGAAAAGGAAAACCGTAACAATAAACCCTAACAAAATACCTCAACAACAATAAATAATAAATAAAAAAAGCCCCAACAACAACTAATTAACAAAAAACCTAACAACAATAAATAATAACTAGAACAACTCTAACAACAACAGATAAATACAAACAAAAAATTAATAAAATAAAATAAAACACTAACAACAAATAAATAATAAAAAGAACTACCTTAACAATAATAAATAATAAGAATAAAAAACTTTAGAAATAATAAATAAAAACCGGAATCCTACAACAACAAATAACAAAAAGAAATACCTAACAACAATATATAATTACTAAAACAACCCTAACAACAACAAATAATAAGAAAAAGAAAACCCTAACTACAACTAACAAAAAGAAAAATCATAATAACAATAAATAATAAAAAGAACTATCATAACAAAAATAAATAACAAGAAAAAATCCCAACATTCATAAATAATAATAATGACTGAACCTAGGGTCACCTAAGCTGCCTACGTATCCCGTCGTTGGGGAATCAAGTCAAACGTAGTTCTATTTAGGTGAACTTATAGACCTTTATCCACAAATGGGATAAATAAGTCGTGATTGACTCGAGATTAATTTAATAACCTCCGTCTGTGATTGATAATGAGATGAGTCGTGTGTGACTCGATTCGAAGTTGAATGAGTTGTGATTTGACTTTCGTTGACTCACTGGAGTCGAAATGGAATGAGTGGTGATTGACTTGAGTTTAATTTAAGGACCTAAGCCTAATAATAATAATTATTATACTAACAATAATAAAAGTAATTATAATAATACTAACAATAATAACGACAAATAATAATAATAATAATAATAAAACTAAAATGGCAGTAAAGAATCAAAATTACCATACTCACCTGGTCTGAATACGCTACAATTTCATAAAACTGGGCAAGATGTTCCAAAATGGCAGCAACTCCGATCCTTTTGAATTTCTGCAAGGCTTTGTCAAGCTTTAAAAATGATAAATTACAAAAGCTAGAACTGGTCAGACATTACATTAAGAAACAAATATAATATAATATAATATAATATAATAATTGAAAAAGGCGAAATTAATGGGTGAGAGTGAGAGAGAGTTGAGCGTTACCGAATGTGGAAGAGCTCAGAGATGTCACCCATTTCGAGGAAGAAGTTTACGGCATCCAAGAGTAGATGGAGATGTGGAGTCCGTCCAGTTGAGTAGGGAAGCCGAGGCCTCAGCGGCTTGTGCAGTGATTCATCAGTGCCACCGGTATCGGCGTTAGGTTGAGGGAACGGAGGAGCCGCAACAAAGCAAATAATGCATAATTGAATAGCTCTCTTCACTGTTGCTATTGTTCTCATTCTTGTTATTGCAATATAAATTGTATATGGTCCAGTGTTCCTTCTCTATAAACAAAGATATCATCATCGTTTTCCATATGATTCTATGTGGCATTCCCCTGAAACAAAGTAAATTCGTACAGATCAAACAACTTGTTTAAAGTTCAACATATTGTACCACATTCAAATATAGTCAACACGGGTTTATATAAATCTTAAGGAAATTATATTAATTTTTCGTGAATTTATAATGATTATCATAATTTCATAAATTAATTTGAAATTAAAATAAAAATATGTTCAAGCCTTGTTAGATACAAAGAAGAAGAAAGATGACAAAGTTGTTAATTCTCATTTGGGTAAAAGTCAAGATTGATAGTTGGTCGAGTGGGGAACCCATCAGAACCAGGACATGCAACATAGAGATGTTACCTCCAAATTTATAACAAAATTAGCTACTCCAAGACCCCCAAACCAGAAGAACTTGCCTGAGACAAGCACCAAATACTTTTTGGAAACCATCATTAATTTAAAATCAAAATCAGCATATGAAGCTCTCTTAAGTAAACTACGTTTTTTAAGGAAGGGGGAGAGGGGAAACAAGCCCCAAATATAGGGAATTGGATCAATTTGTTTTATTTCAAATGGTATGTTTGGACAACAACCATATATACGCTAGAGTCACAATGAAAAAAGGAGCTCAGTTTCACGAATGATAGGACCTGGTGTTAGCTTGAGCAGTATCTCCTATCACCCTACAAAGTTCAAGTCCAAGTTGGGACATAGATGTACATGCTTTATTAAATAAGAACAAGAATCACCATAGATTGTAACATGATAGAAAGAACCAGATTTCATTAACATCTAAACTGTTACACGTGCAGATATTACCATTATTTATGGAAATGCTACACAAAATGCAGAGACTAATTTGACATTCTAAATAAATGCTATGAACTGATTCACTATCTATGGAACATTAACGTGCTCCTAATCGTATATGAAATTGCTTATTCTTGGTTTTTTTTTTTTTTTTGGACAAATAATAATAGGTATTTAAAATAGATAAGAGGAGGCCAGTCACAAAAGTAATCCATATAGATACCGGAAGTTCCCAAAAGCAGGCAACAAGTTACTTCGGAATTTTCTGAAAATAATGTGGTCCCCATAAAGTAAATGACAACTATACACTAAATCCTAACTAGTACATGGTTATCACTTATAAGATTTTTTTTTTTTTTAAAAATAAGTTGTAACTTATCATTTTGATTTTCAAAGAGAATTCATTACAATAAATAACTTAGAAGAACGTTTAAATCATTATGTTATCTTCAGCCAACCCACTTAAGTTTTGACCATATCTACAAAATTCAGATCTTGTTTACTACACGTTCACTTTAATATGGTGTGATGACAGATTCTTCTATGAAATCTTTAATCCCTGTAATCATGGGGTCACATAGATAAGATTCCCGTAATCATGGGATCCCGTAGATAAGATCCCCGTAATCATGGGATCACGTAAATTTTGGCATATTTTCTGTCTTTCTTTGATTTAATTTCCTTTCTTTGTACCCTATTCTTGTATATAAATATAGATCTTGGATCTCGGTTTGAATAAACCAAAACCCAAATCTTCTTCTTTTTGGTATCAGAGCAGAGCAAAAACCTTCGCCTCCCCATCTTCCTCCGACACACCGCCACTTTCTCTCTCCCTCTATCCATTTTCCCTCACCTCCGACACACCGCCATATCCTCCCACCCTCTATTTTTTACTCCTTTTTTAGGAGAATTCCCTTAGATTTTTATGATCTAAGGGTCCTTCTAGTGTTTTCTTTTTCTTTGTGGGCTACCAGTGTTTGTTCGGCAGCATATTTGGAGGAAAGTGCCGATTTTTCCGGCCTTGTTTTTCTCTTTCCTCCCTCTTCGACGTGTGGACCAGCCTTATTTTGGTACTATGAGTGATTCTAGTAGCCAAAAGGACACTTTATCTTCGGGGCCATGGCCGCACTGCCGCAGTAGCCAATGCTATTGGTGGGTATACTACTCAACAGATTGTTGTCCCTCCTGCTTCAACCCTCCCAGACCATCTTTTCAGGACTTCGAACAGTTAAAATCCCAGATTGATCAGCTTCAGGAGCAGTTCAGAACATTATCTACCAGGGCCGATTCTTCTAACCCCACGACTACTATAGCTACAGGTACTCCTTGTGCTTATCATGTTAAAGTAGGAAAACCTACTTAGGTTCTGGATTTCAGAGCCAATGATCACATGACTAGTGAGTTGTCATTATTTTCTACTACCGTTACCCCTGTTAATCAGGTTGTTAGTCTAGCTGATAGGTCAACCACCATTATTCATAGCAAAGGAGATGTTCATCTATCCCCTAATATTATTTTGCCATATGTTCTTTATGTTCCTAACTTTGCATTTAATCTTCTATTTGTTAGCAAACTTGCCAAATCACTAAACTGTGCAGTGATTTTCTTTCCTCATTACTGTGTGTTTTAAAGGACCTGAGTTCAAAGAGAATTTTTGGCAGGAGCACGATGGCCTCTACTACTTTAGGGATCCTCCACTTACACCTCCTCCACTTGCTTCAAGCCTTCAAGCCTCTATTCTTCCAGTTTCCAGATCTTATGATTTTTCTTTTCAGACTTTTAAGTTTATAGCATGCTCGCCTTGGGCATGTAAACTTTTAGTATTTATGTCTACTTTTCCCAAACATGTGCATCCCCAGGAGGTGCAAATCAAGGGAGGAGCTTATCTGAGGATGGTTCCAATGAAACCCTATAATGAAGCAAAAAACTTAAATATGATTGTTTCAAACAAAAAACCAAATACGAAAGCAAGGTCAAAGAAGAACAAGAAATTTTAACAGGAAATAAGATAATTCTAAGTCAACATAAAGAACTACTTACTCTAGCATGCTCTTTGATCAAACAAAATTTAAGTGGAGAATATGTGCTTACAACCTCAACAACATCATTTTAAATAACTGAAACCTAAATTTAAGTGGAGAACATGGCGATGACCATAACATTTATGTGTAGCATCTCCTCTCCTAAGGCATGGTTTGCTGGACCACAAGCCTCAAACAAAGAAGAAGATAATAAAGAACACGCAAAATATATAACAAAATATAATCCAACTCAGCAACTAACCATAACATGGACATACACACATCTTTAATTCAGTATGTGTGAGCCGAAGGGAGAAAAGAAAACACACAAATTTGAGTCGGTGTGTGCATATGTGCGTCGCTTTGTGCATGTCTAATATATATATATATATATATATATAATATTAATGCCTGACTAACTAAAAAACAAGAAACACGATGGCTTGACTTTCACCACAGCATAACAGAACACAAGTTTCCGGGTCTAGTTCTCACTTCTCCCCTCCTTTATTTCTTTAGCGCATCTCAAACCCGTCTTTACTCTTATCTTTTCATCTCATTTCCCTCATTTTTATTTTCTTTTTTTCTATTCCTTTCTTTGTGCTTTTTCTTTTCTGCGCAATTGGTTTCCATCTCACATCCCCTCTTTATTTTTTTCGCACATTCGTTCAATTTTCTTTCTTCATAAAACAAAATGGACAAAAGCAAGAATAAGAAAACTAAAAGCTTGTTAAAAATCCAGTCACAAGTTCAGACTTGAAATTTAACCTTTATATTTGCTCTATATGCGATCAAGTTACAAAATAATTAGCGAACTAAATATATATAATTTTACTTATCAAAATAATAATAATAATAATTAGCAAACCCAAATCTAAGATACCTTCTTTTTCAAACATCTTTCCTTGATGAATCACGGCAATCATATAGGCATTCCTCATTGTGCCCAATTGATGTACTACAACAGCTGTTGTCCTGTTGACCATAACCCTATCCAATGCTTCTGGCACAATCCTCTAGCATTCAGCATCAAGAGCACTCGTTGCTTCATTTAGAAGTAGAATTTGGGGGTCCTTCAAAATTGCTCTGGCTAGGGCAACTCGTTGCTTCCATCCACCAAACAGCTGAATTCCATGCTCACCCACCATGGTGCGGTGTACCTAAATTAAAATTTTAAAATTCAAAGGCAAATTAAAATTCATATTTTCATGAAAGTGAAGAAAGAGGAAAGCTGAAAGAGTGACTAAATGGAAAAGCAAGAACCTGAGGTAGTTTATCAATGAATTTGGCAGAATTTACTAGCTCAGCTGCAGCTCTAATATCCTCAATTGTTGTCCCATCCTTCCAATACACAATATTATCCTCAATGCTGGATGCATACAACACGGTCACTTACGTGTTGAGGCTTGGACAGATGCTGATTATGCAGGATCAATTTCGGATAGGAGGTCTACTTCAGGTTATTGTACCACTATTGGTGGTAACTTAGTTACTTGGCGCAGTAAGAAGCAAGATGTTGTCTCACGATCTAGTGCAGAGGCAGAGTATAGGGCTATGGCTCTTGGGGTAGATGAGTTGCTTTGGCTGAAAACCTTGATGACAGACTTGTGCCTTCCAGTGCCGCTTCCATTCTCACTCTACTGCGACAAGTAGAGTAAGAATAGCAAAGATTTGACTATGCTATAGAATATGCTTTAGAATAATTTGTGATTTGATTTTGATTTGATTTAGTTTCCTTTCTTGTAATATGAGCATGTGCTCATTTTATCTATAAATACTAAAGCTATGAATGAGTAAATTATCTCATTCAAGTCTTTACACAATTCTCTTCTTTCTCTTCTTTTTATATATTTCTACTCTACTGATACTAAAAGA